AAGTCTGGTGGCTGAAAGTGGGAGGAACTCCAGGTTCATTTCATGGGGAACAAGGCGTAGAACCTGGACTGTTTTCTGCTAAGGGCCTCCACACCTGGGCCACTCTGCCCCTTGCATCTGCCCACTGCTCACTGCTCCCAGTTCCACTCACCTCTCAGTCTGTCTTCTGTTCTGTCTTCTTTATTTTATTTTTAGTACATGATGGGATGGTCTACCCTGAACTCCTCACCTGCTTCTTATCCTCATCTGAGACCATTAATTCCTTGAAAAGTGTTTCCTATTCAGGATCTGGTTGTTCTGCAGTGGGAGCACCTTACTACAGTACGTGGGGCTCTACATAGACACACATGGAAATTACGCCTAGATCTCTCTATTAGCTAAGTGCTGTTTCCACGTTTGCATGTAATAAAAACAAGTACTGGGAACTAATAAAATTATTATCCTCCTTTTTAGAATCCTAATAATCAAAACATGATGATTCATATAACCCATAGACGGAAAGAAGCTACTGTAGACTGAATTCTGTGCCTTCAAAACTCACACGCTGGAGCCCTAACACCCCTTAAACCTCAGGATGTTTCTGGAAACAGGGCATTTAAAGAGGTGATTGAGGTCATGTCAGGTCACATGGGTGGCCCCTAAAACAATCTCCCTGGAGTCCTTATAAAGTGAGGGAGAGACACCAAGACCAGAGACCCTGAGAGGACACAGCAGGAAGGTGGGCGCCGGGAAGCCCTGCAGAGAGGCCTCAGGAGAAGCCACCCCTGCCAGCACCTGATCCTGGACGTCCAGACTCACGACTGTGAGAATGAATTCCTGTGCTTCGAGCCTCTCAAGCTGTGGTATTTTCAGAATTTCCTAGAACACTCACATAGGAGCCTACTCAGCATTTCTGGTGTTGTTCTTATTCCTGAAATGAACTGTTTCCCTTGTCTTCATGGGAAATTGTACCTGACTTTTAGGGCCAGCTGAAATATCATCTTTCCTGTGCAATTTTCCCTAATTCTCTGCATTCCCGTATTTTGACATATTCCTATTGCAACGCTGCTTACGTTGTGTCAATGTCTGTCTCTCAGACTAGACTGTGAATTCTCTAACACGGTAAACCACCTAAAGTCCACCTTTGAATTCCCAATACCTAGCTAATCCTTATGAGATGAACAGATGGAGACAGGAACGGAGGAGTGAATGAAGAAACCAGATGCACTCTCTCCTTAGCTGCCATAGTTCCTGCCACCCTCTGGTGACCACTTATTCACCGTCACTGCACCTGCAGCAGGCTATGGAGGTGCTCCTGGCAGGACACCCCAGTTCTTTGTGGCTGCTTTCAGATGACTTGTTTCCCAGCTTATGCAAAACTTCCTCCTATTTTAGTATTATCATACTGTATTCTTATCACAGCATCTGTCAATTTCCTGGTCTTTCTTCTCATTTATTGAGAACCTTTGTGCCCAGATGACAGTCCTTCTCTCTATTCTAACACTGATGACTTCCAAGCCCATGGAGATCATCCTCTTCAAACTCACAGACTCAAAATTTCTTCCTCAAACCTAGCCACAGGTCATTCACCCCTCCCTCGGAAACTCATTTTTGGCCACACCCAGGCTTTATCATCACATAAACATTTTCTTCAGGCTCTGTGGTAGGCCAGACAATACCTGACCCCCATATACACATACAGATATTCACATCTGAATCCCCAGGATCTCTAGATATGTTACTTCACTTGGCAAAAGAGACTTTACAGGTATCATTAAGGATCTTGAGATGGGAAGATAATCCTGGATTATCAGGGAGTGCCCAAGGTAATCGCAAGTTCCTTAGAAGAGGTCCAAATAGGAGAAAGGGGTGTGACAACAGAATCAGAGGTAGGAGTCAAGTGGGGCCAGGAGCCAAAGAACTCGGTGGCCACTAGATGCTGGAAAGGGCAAGAAAACAAAGTCTCCCACGAAGACCCCCAGAGAAGCCTGGCCTTGCTGACCCTTTGTAGACTCCTGCATCTAAGTTAGGGTTGCCATAAGCTGTGAAATCAGTGGCAATTAGGCAGAGCAGCAGAGGGAATGAATACAGGCTCCAATAGACCAACCTTTAACCACAAACCTTTGTTTTTTCTGGCTCACTCACTCTCTCTCCCAGGACACCTCGTGGTCTTCTCATACTTGATTCTCCTCCCTGGCTTCATTTCCTTCCCACACATCTAGACACCATGGTTTTAAATGTTAACAATTCTCTTCTCAGGACGTGAAGGTCCAGACTTCTCCATTCACTTCATCTACCCTGGAGCCGCTAACCTAGAGCAGACCACCACCTGCTTAGTTCCCTCCTATACTAAGGATATGAAACACATGGAGAAAAAGGTTCAACAATGTGTATCGCTTTATTCTCTTAGGTGACCTTCATTAGCTCTGCTGTTTCTCTCAGGGATAATTCCACCGCTCCTCACTCACCTGGCCCATCACTGGGCCTCTCTTTACTAAGCTAGTTTGTCTTCTGTCTTTGAGGGAAACTGAGCGGAGGCATGTGCTGATTTCAGCATGGACCCTCATCACAGGCCACCGGCCCTCTGTGGGATTGACAAGTACAAAGACCTTCTCTCTCTTGGCCCCCTGCCCTCTCTGCCCTACAATTTCCTGAAATACACTTATTTCTTTTTCATTTCCCAACTTAGGGGTGCATGTTTTATGAGCCACCCATTTCCCAGTTGACCACCCCTCCTTCGTGTTCCCACTTCATTGTACATACTTCTATTCAACTATCATAACACACATGCCATGTGTTTAATTCCATTTATCTACTGATGTGTTTCTGTTCTTTAATTAGACTGAGAGTCCCTTGAGGTGAATCACTGTACCTTCTTTGACTTGTTATCTCCAGTTCTCTAGCACTATGCCCTTAATGTCGAGATATGGTAAAAAGAAAACAAGGGAGGAAGGACCTTGGGAGACAGTAAGTGGTGTGGCCAAACAGCCAGCCCCACTGCCTCCCCCACATACACACACTGCTGCACATCAGCCCCAACTCTCACCTCCTCCCAGTGATTAAACTGTTTGGAGACTTAGGCCTGCTCAGACCCCTAAGCAGAAGCTCGTACCAGTCCAAATGACAAGTGCATTGCCATGTCCATCAAATCTGCTTCAGAATCAGGAAGCAGGCACTCTTGGCTACCTCCGTGCTGCAGACCATCTGGTCAGGTGGCATAGTGCCCACTTACAAGGTCATTTCCTCACTGCCCTGAACATCACAGACTGTGCTGCCGAGTAAACTTTCTCTCTGAATTGCCACAGGAAGTCTTCATCATGGTAATCAGTTCCTCCATCATTCACATTTCTATTATAGTTCCCAACTAGGTGGCAGAGACTTTTCTTCAGAGCATCACTGTCATCTTCCAAGTGCTCCCAAGGATAATAGAAAGGTCTGGGAAGGCAAAGGGGGGCAGAGTCCACTTCTCACATTCCTTTTCTGCGGAAAGGCAGGCAGCAATGAAATGATGTGAACCATGAAAACGTGGACCAACACTCCGGTGTCACAGAAGCATTCCCTGTCTGCCTCATGGACGCTTTGCTCCTAAACCAAACCATTTGCTTTAGAAACGATTAAAGGGTAGTCCCTTTTGCACTCAAAAGAAATCTTTGCAAAAACAGTAGAAATGGAGATGAGAGAAGAAGCCATAATACGCTTCTTATTGGCACAGTTGAGGTTGAAATTTGCCTGAAGTTTCCGTTAAACATTTTGGGAGTAGTGCTATAATGATGAACGACTGCTTACAGCCTAGAGAATGCTGAGATGGGCAACCATGAGCAGCTCTATGCAAATGACGTATGTCCTGTGCCAAAATAAAAAAGCAGAGCCGCATTGCAGACAGAACTCCCAGGGACTGGGGTGGGGAGGGAAGCTGGCTTCCTACCATACTGTGAATAACACAAACACTTTTACACATACTGCTACTACTGTCAGGTATTTAATCTTCCTATAGGCATTCTGTCTGAGTAGACAACTGAAAGCAAATTTACTAAAACTGAAAACAATCAAACACAGAACATGTTCCAGAGCAAGTAGAGTAGAGGAAACACACCTCTACGGCCTTCCTTTTTATGTATTTAGGGAGGAAAGGGGAAGACGAGATGGAGCTGGACAGAAGGAAAACCTTATTCTTGAAGATTCAGCATAAAGATTCTCTCTGAAGTCCTTTTAACAATTGCAACCCATAGTGATCCTTCTTTTCTTTGAATACCTACAAGATTTTCATTTTACTCTATCCCACGCTGACTTGCATTATTAGATATCCAGTTGGGTTCAAAGAACTGGACTCCCCAATTAGCAGCAAGGTCCTTGAGGACAAGGACCACTTCTATTCCTCTGCTTTTCCTCCCACAGTGATTGAACATAGCAGGTGCTCAAAATATTTGATTGCTTGGGTAATGTCACCAGCAAATAACCCCAAATCACAAACTTAATTTTGTGATACAGTATGCAAAATTTAAGGAATAAATTTACCTCTGTATTATGTTTTATGCCTTGCATGCTGCAATTACCTTGAACAAGTTAGGTAGGCTGCGAATTGGGGATGAGAGAGGGCGGGCTCTAAAGAAAATGAAGTGTATGTTAAAATCTATCAGGCCAATGAAACCATGCCCCCATCGGATTAAAATAAACTGGATTATTAAGAGCGTGCCCAAGCAGTAAGGTATGTCTGCAGCCTTCATTTAATAATTAGAGCTGGGGCGCGTTTTAAAGGATATGGAAATGTGAGTCGTGGAGGGTGACAGCTGCAAGGCTGCCTGCCCTCCCTTCTCTGGTGGCACTTTGGGAAAAGGTTCCCTCCCGTGCGCAGTGCGGCGCAGCGCCTTCTCACCACCAGAGGGCGCGGGGCAGCGTCCCTCCTCCGGGCGCGCGGTCGCTCTCCCAGCATGCCTCGCTCCGCTGACGTCAACCCGGAAGTTGTCGCCGGCGGCAGGCCGGCCGGCAGCCCCGGCGGATCTGGGAGTGCCGAGTGCGGCCGCTGGGGCAGCCCGAACTTGCGGCGGCTGCGGGCCGAGTCCGGTAGAGAGGACCCTAATGAGTCCGCTCCCGATCGGGGCTCAGTCTCGTCGCGCGGCTCCTGGCGGCGTGTGACTTGCCGGCCGCTGTAAGTGTTTGGGGGGCCGAGGCCCTGCCCCGCCCTCTGAGGCTGCGAAGAGGCTTCCCGCCTGGGTCATTATGAAGACCACAGAGCTTTCCTCGAAAGCAGCATCTCTGCTGAAAGGCGCTGGTTCGAGGCCCTCGTCAGTCACAGCCAGGACGAGAGGCAGACCTGCCGCAGTCGCTTCGCAGTGCCTGTAGGACTTCGAGGGCCCGGAGCTGGGGTTCCTGAATAGTACCCCGATTTCCTCCTATCGAGAACACAGTTCGCGTCCCTTTCCCTAACTCTGATGTAAAATAGAAAGGGGACCTTGGGAAGTCACCTTGCCTGTTTAGCCATGAAGGCAGAGTCCGTGCCCCCATTCCAGCAGACTCCAGTTGAGTCCAGCCCTAGCCTCTGTAATCTCTTGAGTAGCTGGAAGCTGATGGCTATGGGGCTCTTGCTTGGCTGGCTCCTGATTATCCACCTTCTGATCAATTTCTGGCTTCTGTGCCTTCTATCCGCATTGCTATTGGTGCTAGGGGGGTGGCTGGGTTCCAGTGCCATTGAAGGGGCTTCAGGTCGCCTGCACCTGGAGCGCTTCATCTCAGTGGCCCCCTGCCCTCCATGCCCTGACGCGGAAAGGCAGCTGCAACAGGAGATCAACTGCACCATCAAGATGATTATTCGGGATTTCGTGTTATCCTGGTATCATTCTGTGAGCCGGGAGCCAGCCTTCGAGAATGAGCTGGAGTCAGCTATGAAAGGGTTGGTCCAGGAGCTTCGGAGAAGGATGAGCATGGTAGATAGTCAAGCTGTTGCCCAGAGTGTTCTGACTCTCTGTGGTTGTCACCTGCAAAGCTACATTCAGGCAAAGAAGGCCACTGTAGGAAAGCAAAGTGGTCCAGTGGAGCCATCCCGACTCTGGGAGGCTTACTGCCAGGCCACTGCCCCACATCCAGCTGTGCACAGCCCCAGTGCTGAGGTCAGCTACACACGTAGCATTGTGAATCTGTTACTGCAGGAGCTAGTACCCAAGCCCCACTTGGAGACTCGGACTGGACGCCACGTAGTGGTTGAACTGATTACTTGCAATGTTATCTTACCACTCATCAGCAGGCTGTCAGATCCTGACTGGATCCACCTTATAGTTGTAAGTGTCCTTTCCAAGGCCAGAAGTCCAACACAAGTGGCTAAGCCACTCTGCTCACCCAGTGCCCTGGAACAGCCTTCAGTGCCCACATCTCTGCCACTGATTGCTGAAGTGGAACATCTGCCGGGAAGGAGACCCCCTTCCCCAGTAGCAGCCCCGGTGTACCCAAGCTGCAGTGAGCCAGAGGGGCCTTCATGCCACTCCCCAGAGATTGAAGAAGGCCATGAAGCTGTAGAGGGAGATATGGGTGGACTGTCTGAAGAAAAAAGGGGAGTAAACAATTCATCTCATTTCCTACAGCCCAATATTCGAGGTCCCTTATTCTTATGTGAAGACTCAGAGCTGGAGTCTCCACTCTCTGAACTGGGCAAAGAAACCATCATGCTCATGACTCCAGGCAACTTCCTCTCTGACAGGATTCAAGATGCCCTGTGTGCCCTGGAGGGTTCCCAGGCTCTGGAGCCCAAGGATGGAGAGGGATCTGAAGGCAATGAAGGAGCAGAAGCTGAAGAGGGTTCAAGGACAGAGACAGGCCTGCTGAACTCCTGCCCAGAGATCCAGATTGACACAGTGGACAAGGAAGTAGAGGAAGGAGATGGTGCCTCTCTTACAGCTTTGCTGGAGGAGCCGGAAAAGACCTGCCCCCCACGACCTTCATGCCTAGAGAAGGATCTCACCAGTGATGTGAGCACCCTTGATCCTACTCTGCCACCGGTTCTGCTTTCCTCCTCTCCACCTGGTCCTCTTAGTTCAGCCACCTTCAGCTTTGAGCCCCTGAGCAGCCCAGATGGTCCAGTTGTCATACAGAACCTTCGAATCACTGGCACCATTACTGCCCGAGAGCACAGTGGCACTGGATTCCACCCATACACGCTCTACACCGTGAAGGTAACAAGGTTAAAGCTGCAGGAACCTACTCTGGGCTGGGAATGGGTTTGGAAGGGAGGGTTGGTGAAACTAATATCTTGGGAGAGAGACAACTCTTAGTTTGCAATGTTCAATTCAACAAGAGTCTATATGTGAATGGGCTAAAGCTAATTTGTTAGGCAGAGTATGCTCTTGTCCTGTACTCATGCGAACAATCTTAGAATCTTAGGGTTATTAGAATACTGAGGGTTCTATTTTTTAGGGGTTCTCAAACTTGGCTGCACCTGAAAATCACTTGGCTGCTTCTTAAATATATAAATTCTAACAGACTGTGATGGATTCTGAATGAGAATTTCCAAGAATGGGTCCCAGGATGCTGTATGTTTTTTAAATTTAGAACTCTCCATGTAACATGGAGGCAGCCTGTCCTAAGACCATTTGCAGGGAAGTGAGACTTTAACCCAGCCAGACCACTTCATGTTGTCTCTGCCAAGTGGTTCCCCAGTCTGTGCTTAAACACCTCCAAGAATAAGGAACTTGCTAGCTTTAAATATAGGTAAATAGCCTACTTTCCTAAAAGTATAAAAGATAAGTAGTATTTTTAAAAAGAAAGAAATCTGGGGCAGCGCCTGTCTGTGTCTCAAAGGAGTAGGGCGCCAGCCCCATATGCCAGAGGTGGTGGGTTCAAACCCAGCCCCGGCCAAAAACTGCAAAAAAAAAAATTTTGTAGGGAAGAAGTTTAAAAAGAGAATTCCTGGAGACGATCATCTCCAGTAAATTTTATTTGCCTTGAATTTATCTCATTCTGAGTCCAAAAGAGACCCCCAGGCATGAGCCTGGGTCCTATCCTCCTTCCCATGAAATCCCAATTTAAGTAAGAGAGAAAGGGTCTTCCCTGATCTGCTGGACTCAGCTGCAGCCTCACCTCACATTTTAGAAAGGAACAAACAGTATGATATTTTCAAATAAGAATAGAAATAATTAGGAGCACACATACCCCTCACAAAATCGGCAAGTTGTAGATGTACAGATGTCTGGTCATAAAATAACTCAGGCTGTCCTCAAAGAATGGTAGAACTTTGTTAAATTTTGCCTGCATTTTTGTGCTCTTAATCCTGTGTTCTCTTAATCCTTAATCCTTTTTCATATATAAATATTGGCTTCCAGATATTTCATCTTTTTTCATGTCACAGTCCAACACTGATATTAATCAATAGTTTTTTCCTTCTCATTAGCAGAAAAATTAGGTTTATGGATATAATTTTTAAGTTCATAGTCTTTCATTATCTTTTTCTTTTTTGCTGCTAAATTTTGACATCTGCTACTACTTCAAATAAACATTAGGAAAGGGTAAAGTGAAAAATAGGAATAAAGGAATGTAGCCAATTGTTTAAGATTGGGTTTAGATTTTTACATGAACATAACATAGTTATGATTTTAAATTGAATGTCAATTATTATCATACTTTCTGATGGTAAAACAGTTCTATGTGATGGAAAAAAACACATCATCACTGAGTATTATCCCTCAAGGAGCGGAATATTCCACAGAAAACATCATATTCCCAGGTTTTGAGATTTCACCTGGAATTCCACCTGTCTTTCTTTTCTGAGTCTTTCCTTCTCAGTACTGTTCTGAGGATCTGTTTTTCTCATATTGGCTCATAGTGGGTACCCCATCCTATCTGCTTAGGAAATTTTAAACACCAGCCTTGAATCCCACCAACTAGGAAGTAGGTTTTCCCATCACATGCCCACAGTACAATACTGCAACTGAGTAGAAAGAAGGATCACACGTCTGTTTTGCCGACAGCATTTCACTGCATCTTACTCCCCTGTCAGAACGTCTTCCCTTGTACTTAAATGCAGCTTCCGTGCCCCTCTTGGTGTTCGGTCTTTAAGGAATATGCCCACATCAGCCCACCAAGGCTGCAGAAGGCAGCAGACCTTGACCCCATATAACAGCTCCAGTCTTCTCGTGACTGCCAATGATACAAATGATGTGTACTTAGGAAAAAATGTACTTAGCTTTAAGAATGACAGTTAGGAAAATTAATCTGCCTAAAACAAAACAAACATGTCCCTTTAATTTATTCCAGGCAAGGAGATGATTTTTGTTCATCTGCTGTTTGGATTATCTGTTCTTTCCCCAAATAATACACATAGGTGATCATTGGTTGAGTATAGTCACAAATTGTTTCCCCCTTACAATGTCTAAGACTATGATTAGGGGGTGACAGAAGTACTGTCATTTTTATAGGTGTTATGCCTTCTGTTTTAACTCAGTCTTGGGGATTTGAAATTAGTTATGTAGTTATTTTTGTAAGTAAAAAAGGCCTCTGGGAGAGGGAACTTTGAGCTGAAAGTAGTGGGGAGCAGCACAACTTGTAGGTATGGCAGGTACACTAAGAGGCGCATCTTAGATCTTAATTTAGTCACCCTTGGAGTTCGAGTTGCTCATTACATACAACTCGGGTCTGCAGTCAGATAGAGGAGGAGGTTCCAGAACAAATAGAAAAATCTCCCTACCTTTGTCGCTACTCTCCTCTCACTGTGTGGCCATTGAACAAGTAGTCATTAAAGCCAGGACAGAAGATTGCCTGATCTTGGCTGATTGAGTCAACAGATTTGTTCCTTCAATAGTACGAGACAGCCCTTGACGCTGAGAACAGCAGTGGTCTGCAGCAGCTGGCCTACCACACCGTGAATCGCCGCTACCGCGAGTTCCTGAATCTGCAGACCCGTCTGGAGGAGAAGCCGGATCTGCGAAAGTTCATCAAAAGTCAGGAGTTTCCCCAGCCCCGTGCTGCCTGCTTCTACATCCAGCCACCGGCCAGGCTGAGCTCTGAGAGCTTGGTGGCCTCTTGGTTGGAGGGGAGCTGGGGGTGGAGGAGGAGAATGCTGAGTGGAAGGTCATGCCGTCCCAAGTGTGTGGTCAGAGTTTTGAGTTTTAGCACTGGACAGCCCTGGTCACATTCTTCCTGAGGTTGCCTTTGCCACTATATGCTTTGAAGCCCCACCTGGTTTAAGTTCAAAAAAGAAGTGTTCACATTTCCACCTGTGCCCATAAGGCAATATGAGGAGTTAAATTAACTTTTCCAGATTCAAAGATTGGTGGCTAGGCTATTACAATATTATACCAAAGAATGTGCCATTTTCTTCCTTTTAACAACCAGGCCTTTTGTATGTTGTTTGATACCTCCCAGGCACAAGGAAAATTTAAAAATGCAATAAAATTACTTCAAGTAAGCTAGTAACCAGCTAATGTATTTACCAAAAAAAAAAAAAATGCTGATGATCACACGAACATCTTAACAAGTTTGGACAAAAATTATGCATTTTTCTCTTAGTAACAATAGTCAGTGTTGATACAAGCTTGAAAATATGTTCCAAGTTCTTTTCTAAGTGGTTTGCCTGTTAAGTTATTTAATCTTCATAACAGCCTATGAGATAGATATTATCATTATCCCCATTTTATAGAAAGAAGTGAAGTCACAGAGCGATTACACAATTTGCCTATGGTCATTATAGTAGGGATTGGAACCAAAACATAAGCTTGGGCCTTTAGACCTCAGAGCCCTCCCTTGTAACCTCAGTAGGGTAGTATCATATCCCTAGGGTATACTTGGCATGCCTGAAAAAAATGCAAGGAAATAGATTCAGTAGTTCTGATTTGTTTACATGTTTTATGTGGAATAGCTCTGTGAACATTGAATGAATGACTCTTTTTTTTTTTTTTTTAAAGATGTGAAGGGTCCTAAAAAGCTCTTTCCGGATCTTCCATTTGGAAACATGGATAGCGACAGGGTAGAAGCCCGTAAGAGCCTCCTGGAATCATTCTTAAAGGTCAGCATCCTCCTGTTCTGCCTTCCCTTAGATTCTCCAGGCTCCCAAGCCAAGGGGGTGAGATCTTGGAGAGAACCGGGGACTAGAATTTCCCTTTAAAATGTTTTCATGTGTCTTTTGCAGCAACTCTGTGCCATTCCTGAGATCGCTAACAGTGAGGAGGTGCAGGAGTTCCTTGCTCTGAACACTGACGCTCGGATTGCCTTTGTCAAGAAACCATTCATGGTCTCTAGAATAGACAAGGTACCAGCAGAGCCCCTGTGCTCAGCTGTAGTTTCTACCCATAAATACAGAGTATTCATCAGAATGGAGGCAGAGCTTGAAAAATAAGAGCGGTAGGGCATGGGGAGGAACATCACAGAGGGGTCAGTAGAGTGTGGACTAGAATTTTCAAGGCCTGTTGCCAGATCCTGGCTGGATCATCAACGTGCTGACATTGTTATGGTATTCCCCCGGCAGGAGCACAGCTGGTGGGAAATGGTACCCCTGACACTGTAAGTGTAGTCGTATCTCCAGAGATCACTGTGAGTGGAGGCATGTAAGGATAGATCTGTATCCACTGGATACAGATGGGAAGATCATTCCCATTTTGGGTCACACAGGAAAGAGAGCTCTAAGATGGGACACTAAGCTAGATTGAGATTGAAGCTGTGAGTCTCTGCTGGAGAACAGTGTGGAGAGAACTGCACCTTCTTCCCATTTGCTTAGCGTATCACTGCCTGTAAGCAGTGATTACCACTGACCCCAGCGTCTCCAAGGCGGAAGTCTGAGGCTTACACTTACCAAAAGCTGGCGTGAGCTTTACAGAGTTGGGAAACCCGACTCGTTGGCAGAGGATCCTCCCTCTTGCCATCTGGGCTTGGAGGGATGCAGTGAACTGGAATTGTAGTGGTAGGTTTTAGAGGACATTCACTGCTATGTGGATGACTGAAAAACTGAACTAGAAAGGACCAACTAGGTAAAATTCCCAGGGCTCCATAGAGGTGTGTTTATTCATTGCTTCTTTCAACATCTGCTTACTGGATTTGGTTTTGAGCCAGGCACTGCGCTAGTTGCTGGTGACATAACAGTGGACAGGACAGATGAGGAGACCCCCCCACCCCCACCCCCACGGAACTACAATTCTGGGAGCCTAGAGAGCAAGTTGAATTTTCTGAGCTACTCTGTCTGTGTCCATCCACCTCCATGTCCCTCCTGGTCACCCCTTCCCTGGCGTTCACTGTACCACGTAGCCCTGTCTTAGCTGTGCTGGCTGTGCTGCGGGGGGGCCCCACGGGGATGAGTTGAAGCAGGCATGATGTCACTCTGAGCTAGCAGTGTTAAATTAGCAAGACACACCAAAGGAAAAGTTAAGTGTTTCATTCTATTTCTGGATATTTTTAGGGTTTCATTTGTACATTTTCCTTTTGAACCAATATCTTTATGTCATTTTCCCATTTTGAGAAATATAAATAATTTTTTTTCTTTAATGAGGATTGTTTTATTTGGTCTTTACGAGTAGAGAAATTTTTATCAACTCTGGATACCTCAATTTTGACTTAAGTGATTTTTGTTATTCTTTCTGTACCTTATGAAGAGAAATTGTTTGAATTGACCTGAAAAACCAGCTCTGGTTCTTTGCTCTGTTGAATTACTACAAACGTGTTTTTTATTGTATGTGCCCTTGGACCTTATCTTTTATTTTTGATTATCTTCTTCACTCTTCCTTTCCTCTTTATATTCCCACCTGTTTTATTTTTACTTATAGTTTGGTGAAGTACTATCAATTTTGAAACTGAAATCACTTTTCTATATAAAAAGAAAAATAATGAAAATGAAAAGAACGTCACCAGCCTTCAGAACTCCTAGGTTTTAATTTATCTTGCTGTTTGTTTTGGCTTCTTTTCCCATGCCACTGTTTGTCTTACTCTGTGAGGAAGAAGAATTTTATGGCCATAGAGAAAAGGGAGGGTGGTGACACTGGGTCCTCAGCTGGTATTGGGCTTCCCTAGTGGACACAGCTGTGCTGGGTCGCCCAGCCCTGCTCATCCTGTTGCACAAAGTGCTGTGAGACCAGGGCTTGGTTGGCAGCATCCCTCTGGGCTGTGAATGGCCTTACTGACCCTGCACCTCTGATCCCTACAGATAGTGGTGAGTGCTATCGTGGACACCCTGAAGACAGCATTTCCTCGCTCAGAACCGCAGAGCCCTACCGAGGACCTGAGTGAGGCTGAGACGGAAAGCAAGCCCCAGACAGAAGGCAAGAAGGGCAGCAAGTAAGGAGCCTCCCATCACCTAGGGATGCACCCTAGTTCTCAGGTCAATCTCCAGCCAAGCTCACCCTCATTCTCAAGCTGTAGAAGAGAGGAAGTGGGTCATGTATACCAATTTTTAGGCAATGCCAGACCCTGGCCTCCTCTGGGATCCTTCCAGAGGCAACTGAGGCGCTGCAGAAGAAGCACTGTGAGTGTTGCTCTCACGTGGGAACCCAGGCCCACCTGACCTGGGAGTTCTAAAGGAAAACTCTGGAATATGGGTATTCTCTTTTCTGTTTTCCTGGGAAATTGAGATATTTCTTTCCTACTAAGAATTAAGGCATATAACTGCTCTCTCTTTGCCATTGTTTCTGGAAATCTTGGCCAAGAAGTTGCATGTACTAGCAGTAAACAGGAAAGGGCTAGAATGGAAACCTGCAAGGCCTATTTAGTAACTGTTGTCTTCTGCTGTACAAGGATCCCAGCTGCTCCCTGGAAGCTTTGAAAGTTAACACGTGAAAGGCACCACATCACCCTTAACAGGAAATGAAGTCATCATGAAGGAGAGAGACAGACAGAAAATGTGTGTGTACATGTGTGTATGTGTGTATGTGTGTGTATATATACGTGTGTATGTATGTGCATGTGTGTACATATGTTTGTGCGTGTGTGTACATATGTGTCTGCGTGTGTGTATGTATGTGTGTATGTATGTGTGTACATATGTGTGCATGGCCCCATCTCTCTTTGTCTCCATGCCTTGCGTTTTGTGGGCCAGCAGTAACAGATTCACAGTACTTAGCCTTTTCAAAGTGGGCCTACATTTTGATGGAGGACCAGGGTGCCTGTGCTTATACCCGCCCTGTTCCTTGAAATGTTGAAGTTATCAATGTTTCAATTTTGGGATTTCTTCTCTGGTTTCCTTGAATGTAAGGAGGTAGATGGACGCCCCAAAAGGGCACAGCACCAACAGCAGTGGTAGGACGCTGCTCTGCCGCTGGTTTCTTCAGCCTTCGGCAGGTTTTAAGCAGCGCCTGGTATGTGCCAGCCACTCCACTCTTCTGTTCTGTGGGAATGTAACCATGATACATACAGACTGGTCCCTCTTTTATGTGGTGCCCTTTCACAAGTGTACTGTAGATACAGCTTAGAGTAAGTGGTACTATCTTTTAAGAGCCAGAATACATATTGCTTGGGGGATTTCAGAGCCAAGTCTTTCCTGGCAACTCTGACCATTGTAAACTCCCAGGAATAATCATGAGTGTTACTGCTTTAATACATCCTCGATACTTTCCAGCTTGTGTGGGGACAGGACCATGGATTGCTTTCTGTTTCTGCTCTTCGTTTCTGTACCAGGTCCAGACTGAGGTTCTCATCCAGTAAAATTGCTCCAGCAGTGAGTGCAACTGACGCGCACGGCAAGGTTCTCTACTGTGTCCAGGAAGGCAACGTGGTAAGAGGCAGCCTGGAGAATTTGAGGCATTAGGATCTGGGCAGTTGATACTCCCTGAAGTCAGAAAGCTGCTGCTTAGTTAACATCTATCTGGATCTCTAATTTCTGTTCTAAATTATTTTCTCACAACTGGTTTGGAATTCCGGCCAGCTCTGGGCAGCAGAGTGGCTTCTCAAGGATAGTACGTTTGGGATAATGGATGACAAGATCAGAAAGAAAGCCAGGTCCTAAGGGAACAGGTGACCCAAAAATGTGCACAGAAGTGATCCCAGAATCCCAGGGTAGGGTTGTTTTGCTTGTAACTTGGGTTGAAAAACAAAACCTGTCCTGATGTAGTTGATGTAGTTGTCCCCCCAGGTTGAGGTGGGTTCTGTCCCTCAGTATTTTACAGGGGAGAGACAGGGAAACGCAGCACTGCACTGGCTCCCTCCTGTCTGTGTCCTTGTGATGTGCTTCTGGCTGTTTCTTCAGGAGTCAGGGATCCTGTCTATGTCTGGGATGTTATCCTTTATTGAAAAACAGACAAAGTTACTGGAAATGGAGCCAGCAGAACTCCCAGAAAAAGATCCTGAACAAACGCCCAAAACATGCATGGACAGTTACCTGTCAGATGCAACCAGACCAGCCCAAGACGTCCACAGCAGGGATCTAGGTAAGTGGCCAGGTCTCTGCTCCCCCAGAGAAGGGGCCAGAGAGAAGTTTACTTGGCATTTGGAGTAGCTGGACTTTGTAGCTTTAATTCCTGTTCTGTCCAGATGAGTGAGCTGTGTTTGGAACTCCAGTGTAGGAGGTGCCGTGCTAGGGCCCAGGGATAAGTAGGATAGTCCCCAGAGCTGAGTCCAGCTGAGGAGTAGGGCACAGACACAGCAGTTATCCTCCGGCAGGATGGGATCCGTGCTCACAATGTGGACATCTTTTTTAAGGTCTTCTGGCGTGCCCTGAGACTTCTGCTGTCCTCTGGAAACTCACTTGGCTTTATTACCTGCAACACTACTTCCCTGGTTCTCTTTCTGCCTTTCTCCTTTGTCTTGTAGACGCCCTTATCAGCCTCCCAGGGTTTGATGTCTGGCTCATTGTTGACTCTGCACACTCTCCCTGGTGCCACCTGTACTGTAGCTTTCAGTTGTAACACATGGACAATGACACCTAAATATTTGGTGTTAACTCCTCTTGAAAATGCCATAGGGCAGCTCAAGTGTAACACGTTCAGAGTGGAATTCATCTTTTTCCCCAGGCCTCTTTCTCCTCTGTATTTACTACCTGGGTGGATGATGCCACCTAGTTCCTCAGAGCAGAGCAGGGTGGGAGAAGAGGGGAAGGCTCTTGGAGACACAGCAGTGTGCTTCCCGGGGGCAGATGCGTTCTAAGGGGAAGGATTCAGCCCTGGGTATTCAGTGGTATGTCTGCTGAACTGGAAGTTAAGAAAGTTTATCAATTTCAAGACAAAGGCCTCTGCCGAAAATAAAAGATCACAAAATCTCAGCTTCAGAAGAGGGAAAAGCTGATTTCACCACTGCCTCTTGGGTGATGAAGCCACCTACAGACCTCTGCCCGGTGGACTTCAGTGTAAGTGTGTGAAGAGTGGCACTGACAGCCCCATCCCTTCACTTGGATCTCACAGATTAATGAAGCCAGGATGGTGTGAAAACATCAGAGAACTCTTACAAGATTGTAAATAAGGTGGGGTGGATCAAACAAGGTCTTCGTAGCCCAAATCAAGCCTGTAAATGGTGTACATCATGTCTCTAAACAGATGGTTAGTGCCTGAGCCCATCTTCCAGGCCTGAGAAACTCAAGATGCTCAAAGGATAGAACATCTCCCCTTTTCTTCAAGAGGACTTAGTGGCACCTTGTTTGCTCTCTTACTTTTTATTGCTGTGACTAAGTGTTACCACAGGGTGGCAGCTTCGGGCAAGTGCTAAACCTAAGAAAATGACAGAACTGGGGAGAGTGACAGAGGCTCAGGATGATGCTATTTGCCAAGGAGCAGAATCTCCCATCTCTGAGCAAATGGCTAGAAAGCCGTAACCCATCCCAGGCCCTTGAAATGGAAAGTGAAGGTACAGCCGTCCAGTTCCACAGCCATTCATGTTTAAAGAGACCTTAAAATAGAGCTTGGGCAAGCTGGCCCAGGGAATACCCACGAGACCTACACTAACAAAGTCATTATTGATGATTAATTAATTATAGTATTAACACAGCAGTAGCACCAGATGTCTCAGATTCATTCTGGAACATTATGTGTTCTTGGGGAACTCCCAGGAAACAAATCAGAAATGATACGCAACTCCCAAAACAGGATTAGAAAATAGTTGCTTCCCTCCACAAAATGCATTTGTTCAGGAAACTTCAGCTTAGTACTGGGTATAAGTTTGTCTGTGGCCCTTCCAAGTCCTCAAAGCAAGAAAGAAATCAGAATCATTATAGCATTTTACCAAAGGCGTTCTTCCTAGAACTACACATTATCTTAAAAGCAAGCTAAACCTCCTGAATCCCAACCAGTAGCTCTGTATAGAGGAGGTGCTTTCAAAGCAGACTTTCCCAGAAGAATGAAACTCAAGTCTTTGCCCACACGTTTCCATGCTGCTTTGTGGGGAGTGGAATGTGAGGGTGGGAGACGCTAGGCCCGTGATTTTCAGCTGGTGGGCCGCAGCACCCTGAGGTGCTGTCAGAGGATCTAAGTTGTGCTGCAAAAACTTTTTAAGATCATTAATTAGATTATTTTTGTAAGAAGTTCAAACACAGTAAGTATATTCTTTTGTTTACTCTTTCTTTTGAACAACATAATTTAAGTATGCCGCAAAAGTTTAACTGTAGGTTCAAGTGTACTTTGAGATTAAAAAAAGGTTGAAAAACACTACACCAGGCCTTGCCAGCTTCATCTGCTCTCTAGTTGTGAGATCTTACTTGGAACAGAATATATTCAGCATCCTGGGGAAATATTGAAGAAACAGAAGCTAAGCTGACAAAATAACTATATGCAAAATTAAAAAAAAATTTACTAGGTGACAATATTAGGAAAGTAATAGAATTGTAAAGAAATGCAGAGCCTGTCCCTAAAATTTCTAGGTATGAGGTGAGCATCTCCTTATCTGAGTGCAAAGGGATTACAGGAGTACAAATGAAAGTCGGGATGATCCACGTGGCCAGTGCATTGAAATGTGGCTGTGAGTCTCTTCTGAGTTACTTTTGATGCCTTTGTGACCCACAGGAACAGAAACAGCGTTAGCCGACACAGCCCTGGATCTGCTCTTCTTGCTGCTAATGGAACAGTGGAAATGGCTGTGCACTGAAAACATGCAGAAATTTCTGCGTCTTATCTTTGGGACCCTGGTTCAGAGGTAAGACTGCTGAGCTCTCCTTCATGTGAGAGTCTCACATTGTACAGAAATTTTGGACATTGATGCTGAATTCTGCACTTGAAAGGGTAAGTGTGGAGCCCGGGAAACCTGTGACCATAAAGGAAGATAGATTCTCTTCTATGGAGATGCAGGGATGGAGGCTGCCTGAGACTGTCAGAAAGCTTTCCCTGACCACCTTGTTGTCTGCAGTCTGAAACTGTCTGGCTCTGTTCATCTGCTGGCACAGCAGAGTCTGCACTGAGTTCCAGACGCTGCCTGTGACCCTGACGTCGTCCGTCCTTCATGTTCCCAAGCCCCCCACTTTTCACCTGCTATCACTGCAATTATAAACATGGGAAAGAAAAGGGGAAAAGAGATCAGTGTTCTTGAAATAAAGATTGTTTTCTCTGAGAAGAGCATAAATATTCACAACTAAAGAAGTACTTACTGACACAGGTGGTAAAAATAGAGGGAAATTTGTATGTGCAAGTTGACTTTTATAATCAGGCCTTGTAATCCCAGCATCACTTGATCTCCTGAAAGATCTGTACACAGGTGGAGTTTTTAGCTGCTGACTTTCTAACCGTGGAACTGATGCTGACTTTGCTAACCTGGAGAAGGCCAGAAGTGCTGTCTCTGAGCCAGACAGACACATGTAGTACTTGGGCTTGGGCCACTCTTGTTTTGAAGCCTCTCTTATGAGACATCCTGGCAGATCCCAAAGAAAGAAGCAGCCAAATACCGACCTCTCCTGTTCCCTTGTGTCTCATGCGACAAGGTCACTCACAGTGTCTTCTTTTACAGAAGAATTGTGTTATCTATTCTGTAGAAAACTCATTAACAACAAGCAATTAAATCTCCCTTTTCATACCCAAAGTTTCACAGGATCTAAGAGGCTTTAATAAACTTGAATCATAAAGAGACCAAGGGAAAGAACAAGAGGCACATCTATATTTGCTGAGTGCTCCTCTGCACCAGCACTGACCTGTGTTTACAGATATTTGCTTACGTGGCCAAGTGAGGTAGGTAGCCCCATTTTACAGAATGAGAAAATAGAGCTTAGCAAACTCCACAAACATGCCCAAGGTCAGAGTTAGTGAAATTTTAAGCCAAATTTGTATGACTCCAAAGCCAATTATAGTCTCCAGTTCAAACTCACATACAAAATACTAACTGGTCTCTGTGCCTTGGGGCTTGTGCCCCTTGTCCATACTTGATCCTCAGCTCACCACTAAACCACTTTTTCTGAAAAGCAAATCTGAATTCTTCACTTAAAATCCATGAGTGAAACCCTTGTTCCTAAAAAAGTGGTTTTCCTAATATGTGCTCCGAAGTCCTAGGGCTGCACAGGAGCACATCAGAGGCCAGCTTAGAAGACGGGAGGAGCTGGGTGGCCTGTGATCCAACTAAAGCAGCTCCCTTGGGTCCATTTAATACGCTGGGTTAGGTGGGGCTCTGTGTGAAAAGAGCTCTGCTGTGTTTTAAATAATATTCATTTCTTTATATTAAAGTTTTGCCTCCTTGCTCCCTGGGTCTGATCTGGCCCCAGCCTCATTTCTCATTCCCCTCCATGCAGACTCTGTGTCACTGCCTGGAGGAGAATGAAACCAGGCCTATGGCCGCTTTCCTCTGGCCCTTTGCTTGTCTTCTCGCACCTGTCTGAGTGGCCCTTCTCCACTCGCTACCCTCCTCTTCCCTTCCTGTGTTCCTTTCTCTCTTTTTGTCTGCTTGGCTTCCTGTAAAACATTTTTCCAATATTGAGCATAAAATGTCACTTATTCTGTGAAACTTCCCATAGCATTCTTGCCTATTTTCCCCTAGCAGTAAGGAGTCTTTTACTCTCACAGTTTTCATAATACTCCCTATCACAGTGCTTTTCCTAAACTAGTGGTTCTCAACTGGGTACGCTTTTGTCCCCCAGGGGACATTTAGCAATATCTAGAGACATATTTGGTTGTCATAACTGGGAAGGAGGTGGGTGATATACCTACTGGCTTCTCGTGGGTAGAAGCCAGGCTGGTTGCGAAACGTCCTATGAGAAAAGTATAGCCCTCTAGCCAACCATGAATGAATCCTGCAAAAGTGTCCAGAGTGCTAAGACTGAGAAACCCTGTCCTGGGCTGTGGTTCTTTAAGGGCTGAAACTAGCTTGTATCTCCAGCAACTTACACAGGTCCTGGGACATAGTAATCTTCACTAAATATTTGATAAAGGAATAAACATTTTCCCTCTCAATCCCTTCGTACTTAAAAATATAATCTCCTTATACCTTATTCTGGAACATGCAGAGTCACTAATTAAGCCTTCCTTTCTCCTCTCCCTCTGTTGGATGCCCTGTGCTGATATTCAGATGCTTCTAAACAGTGGTAAGACCCCACCACTAGCTAGCATGCCGTCACCCCAAAGTCAAACACATAACACACTGCATTCAGCACACAAGAGATTATTCAGTAGGAACATAAAAGTACAGATGAGTCAGGATAAATTTTTAAAAAGAGATTGGGATCCATACATAAAAAGGGTAGGAAGAAGTTTACCTGAACTTTAAATAACTCAGAGTATTAAATGGTTTGGCCAGATAAAGGAGAGATAACTCTAGTCTAGAATTAGAGATGATCGCTGAGAGAGAAACCCTTCATGTAGCCAGGGTGTGTGGTGCTCTGCAGCAGGGGAGTTAAATACAAAGGAGGCGAGGCCCAGGGGCACGGTGGACACGGGAGGCAGGGTCATTCTGGGCTTCAGCGTGGAGGCTGCGAGACTTACTACCCCAGCGGGTGATGTTGATAAAGTCTGTAGTGATCGAGAGTAGGCAAGAAGAAGGGGGCGTGTGCTCTCCACTCTAGGCTGTTTCTTGGCCTGACGGGTAGAAATGTGTCCAGGCTGTCTGTAGCATTCATCCCGCTTTACCTTAACATCCTTACCTCTCTCCCGCTGGCGATTATTTTGGTCTTATTCCTTTGTTCACTAAAACTGTATTGCTGAGGGCGGTCGCTACTGAACACAACAGCTACAGTCCTCCTCCCCCATGTGTCATGTTGGGTGGGGTGAGAGCTGAAACCAGGTGTCTCACTCAGACCACAGATCTAATGGGCAGTGGGGCTGGAATTCAAACCCGGGAGGCCAGAGACACCTGTTGAGAGTTTATTTTGTGCAGATACTATACTGAACCCTACATGCAGATTATATCATTTGATTCTCTCACAAACCCCGTGAAAGAGATATGACCTCTGTGTCAAAGACAAGGAATCAAAGACTTACAAAGAATGAGTTGCTTAATCAAGATCACTGTGCTAATGGTCACAAGCAGAATTTGAATCCAGGTTGATTTCTAGCTATATGATTCTCTAAATTTCAGGATCAGATCTTTGTCCTGTGATTTGCAGGAATAAAAGCTAGCTCATTCTTTGGTTCTGAGTAATGGACATTGCACAGGAGGTTATCGTCTCCCTGTCTGCACACTTGCATATAACATAAAGGACACTGCCACAGGAACGTCAGCCCATGTTACTGTCCCCTAGACAGCCTGGGTTTTAATTTTAAGAAGTGTTTGTGGATGCTGCACCTTCAGCTTTATTTGCTTGGTAAGCAAACACTCTGAGAAGTTGATCAGAGCTGCAGCAGCCTCTCCACTGCACCCACCCTGCCCCTCCTAGAGGACCTCTGTGACATCCTAGGTCACCCTGTCCCTGTGACTGTTGCCCAGGAGACCACGTTTGCTCCTGGAACCACGAGAAGTGGAGCTATATGCTTTTGCAGGGCACTTGGGTTCTGTTCCATTATGTTCTCTGCTTTAAGGAGCAGGCTGGTTGGCATTAGCGCCACCGGTGCTCCTGACCCTTCCCTGGTTTCTGGGATGCTGCACCTAGATGTGGGTGCGTCTCTTCCTGTCAGATGTCCTCATTTTCCAACCTCCAGCATTGCACCCAGGCAGGCAAGTTTATTTCTTCTTCTTCCAGCTTTGTTTACTCTCCTTGTTCCCTTAAAAGACCTATGTACCTAACTGCCTTGGACTCTGGACACTTCTGCCAAATTATAAGCACAATCTTTTTAGCCTGCAAGGAAGAAGAAAAAAACAGTAAATTCAACCTCATGACCCCTCCTTCTAAGCCAAAGTTGGAAGAGTTGTGATCTGAGTCAGGCTTATAAATCTCCCTTGATTGTTGATGGTGTGAGGAGGGTGGAGGAGGGGTGCTAAAGAGAAGTTAGATGCCCAAAAAAGGCATTGTTAAGTCAAAGAGAAGTCTTGGACGCATGCACTTAGCCTTGTGTGTCAGCGTCTGTGCTTGGAACATCCAATTATGTAACCAGGAGGTCTATTTATTTGGAGGGAGAGACACAGGGAAGGGAAGGGGAGCCAGGGTAGCAATCTCAGCAAGGAGCAAATCCAGCTTGTGCAAACCCTGCCATGTCTAAAACAGAACAAACTTGACAATAGCCCTGCATGCATCAGAATCAGATTTAGGGAATGGGGCCAGTACTCAGAACTAGAATGGGTTGGAAGGAAAGAGGAGAGTCGTACTGTGCTCCATTGATGGTAGAAGGTTGTAGGCAGGAAGATCCAGCCAACGTAAGGGGTGAGGTTATTATGGAGTCCCGATGGGGAGTGAAGGAATGAGAGGCTGGCCTGGTTCCTGCCTGGACGCCTAGAGCAATGCCACGATGAAAATAGGAGCCAGGCCAGCAGTAGAGTGCACGAACACCACGTCCATGGTTCTGCCCTCCTCATGGCCCCGAAGATGGCACTGGATCCTGTGTTGAAAGGGCAGCAGACGCATTCCTGGCATACATGTCAGGATTTCTTAGTTAGAGATAGAGCAGGGGTGCGGGGAGAAGATGGGGACACGTGGGAATGGAATTGCCTGGCAAAAAGAGTAGGGACAAAAAGAGAAGGGTCTGCCCTGTAAGCAGTGGGGTGTAAGAAGTGTGTAAATCAGGACAGATACAGAGGAAGAGGAAAAGAATTTGCAGGCTTAAGTCCAATAAGCAGTGGACCGAGACTAAATGGCAAGCTCTGAATCGTATACCTGGTCTTGGAATCATTTCCTTCAAAAAGATGTCTCTCCACAGTCTCCCAGAAAAGGTCAGGAGAAGGTTTGTGGCAGAGTCTAGGAGTGCCAGAGAGTACTGCACAGCCAGGTGGCACGTCCATCTCCCCAAAAGACAGCTGGGCGTGGCTGCCCCTGCTCCCACTTCTCTCGTGTGTCCCCCCAGAGTCAGGGGTACTCTGTGAGTGGAGCTCTACTTCAAGGGCCTCTTTTGTGTCTTTGTAACATTGGTGGTTTATCAAGGGCAAGGCCAAGGCCGCCATCAAAGGGCTCAAGTAATTGAAACGGGAAAAGAACTA